TGAGGCCTTGAGCTGGGCATTTTTGCCACCTTGGTGTTTTCATATCAGATGTGATAACTGAGGAGTGGGTTTAACTGTAAAACCACAAACTCGTCACGAATTGAACTTAAGCTCTTTTCTGACTCTTGGAATGATCTTATTTTGAAAAACTGACTTAATCTTCTGTTCAATATAATCAGAAACTAGTGCATGAGTTCCCAAAGTTAACAGGAAAGTGTTCACTAAGGATGCAGAGCAAGGTGGCCAAAGGCCAATTTCTACCCAACTGGAAGTCCTTTTCCAGCCACAGAGATCAGACCTGGAAGCTCCCTCCATCTTTTATACATTCTATCGTCCTAGTATAATTTTTGCCTCCAAAAAAACCAATATATTTAAAAAATACAATACCATGATAACAAGTAAAAAAACCTTTAAGAAACCGCTGGGCAATATGAAGATGTCCTAAGATAGTCACTTCATGGCAACATGGAAATAAATGTAGAGGTTTGGGCCAAAATGTCGTAATATATCAAAATCTGAACCTTAAAAAAGACCGAACTCGTGAAAGGATTTACAAAGAAGAAATCAAGGGAGCAGTAGGGTGGCTTTCTCACAGGCTTCTCTTTTTGCAAACCAACTTATGTTTGTAACCACTCCTGCTGGCCTTAGAAATGACACAAATTTCAGACACTTATGCAGTGGAGCTAGTTTCAAGTCCTGGAGGCACTGACCATCGTTAATACAGGCTAAGGCTGTAAGTAGACAGTCCAAGTGGAACGACCCTTAGGCTGATATACAGTAAGGCTGTTAATACACTTCTTAATGTGCTCTCAGTATAACAGGAAACTTCTTTGTGTAACGCACCTTGTTACAAGGCGGAAAGCGCACAGCAGTCCTTGCAGAGAGACTATATCCTTTCTTACTCCCAGGTGTCTTCTGTAGGTCATAAACTATGGTGCCAAACTGTGACAGAAAGGGAAAGTTTATTAATGGAAAACACAAGAGAGAGGTGCAGGCAAGGTGGAGCAGGTTGATTTGAAGCAGCAAAGTTGAAAGGGCAGGTTTACAACGTGGTAGTGAGACCTGCTACAATATGTGGTTTGGAGAAGGTGGAAACAAAGTTCAAAGGGGCAAGGCTGAGGTGAGACAGAGGATGTTGAATGTGAAGCACAAGACAGGAGAAAAACAGGAAGATCACAGAGCAGCTTCATGAATGTAGTAAAGGGGGATGTGAGGAGGGTTGGTGTGACAGAAGAGGATATTAATGTTTGGTCAGATGGATACTTAAAGGGTGCAGCCGTTAAAGGAAGAGGAAGCAGATGTTAATGAGCAAAGCAAACTACCAACAAACATTTAGAAGCACTACTTTATGAAACAAGTATGTAAATAATTATTCTGAATATACCATTCATTCACCAAAAGTCAGCCGCAGCTGGCCTGCATCTCAATGCACTTACTGTAGCTGACTTATTTTGAAGCATCACCTAAATTAACTTTAACGGTCACGTGGACATAAAAACTGCATGCATAGAAAGAAAGGGGAAAATATGTAAAACAACTTGTGGAAGTACCCCTTAACTCTTTCTCTCACACACAAACCTCGTGGTTGTCATAGCTTCCCGGGCCGATATGTGGCGGTCCCTGTTGTGCCATTTGGTTTCCCAGCCGGTCTGGCGCGTAATGGAGAGGAAACAGCCTCCTCTCCAGTGAGCTCCCAAAACACACTCTCTGAGCAGGAGCGGTCAGCATCGTTGAAGCAAACGTTTGGTAACGTAACGAAAACCCAAGTAGGAGGAAAAATACTGCTAGCTACTTTCTAGCTGTCCAACACCTGTGACCGTCGTAGTGTTTCTGCTTGCTGTAACTATGGCAACCGAGCAGCATATCCTGTTCAACGCTGATTGGTCAACTTTATTAAAGCTCCCACATTTCGATAGGCTTGGATTTAGATTATGGGTGGCGGATAGCTTGTATTTATGCTTGATCAAGAGTTGGGAAAACTGCACTCAGTTAATACACAGCATTTTTTCATCCCAGCATTGAACCTCTCTAGTTTTATGAATTTGCATATCTAAATTTTAAGACGCTTTCCCACTTAAGTAGCGATGCCCATCCTGTCGAACAGAAACATCCGCTTTACCCTGCATTTAGTTTGCAACTGAGGGGCCCACAACTTCAGAATTACTTAGGAATTTATAGATTTATTTGCAATTAAACAAATCATATTGTACTTCATTGCAAATGCACGTCAATATTTTTTTTTTTGAAAACAAGGCACTGTTATTAAAATAGCTGATAACCCAGAAGCAAAGGGTAAACCTTAAAGGCAAATGAAATCCTTTTATACAAATAAATTATTTGCCAAGAAAACATTGGATATCAGTGTTGCCATTTAAGCCATGACAAGTGGCCACAGAACTGAATCCAAGGTATGTTATTGGGAAAAACAGCAGCACTACACAACACATCACAAATGATCATTTATATACACAGGCACTTCTTTCATTAACAGTAGTTTTTAAATTACAGTTAGGCCGGGGAAATTAAAATAAAAAATTAAGAACTGAGGTCTGAAACGGTCCTACAGCATTTAGCGATCACATTCGTGTTGGCAAGGAAGTCATTCCATGATATGTGTGCAAATTATTTTAGTAAAAATACTAGCTGTATCTGGCACACGCTCTAAAATAATAGTCATAAAAAATACACTCTGGAACCTGTAAAATATGGCAATATGACGTGGAATGTGCCAAAATAACTGTGGAAGGACTCAAAAGAAACATACATTACAGAAAAAGACCCAAAAACACAAAAGCTAGAAGGCAAAGGGATACTTTCTTTGATCAACAAAGGGGTACTCAAAAACTGAGGAGTGGATGTTCTTACTTTTTTTTTTTTAGTAAAAAAGTGATTTACTCTGACTGAGGCACTGAAATTGATGGGCCTTTGGGGTCATCGAAACGATCCATGGTGTTAATCTGCATGATCATGTGCAGACCGTACACTAAAATTAGCAGCGTAAGGAGCACAGTCACCAGTCCCATCCAAATTGCTGGGGTGAAGAAGCTTGCACAGTCACTGGCATAGGAGAAGTTTGTGCTGTTGGCCAACCCAAAGCCCTGAATCTGTATAAAAAACAGAAAACAATTATTTAAGAAACCCTTCATCAACACACCTCTTCATGCATTGGTGTTTGACTTTAAAATTAGCAAATGCAGCACTAAATTTGTACCTGGAAGTCAATAAAATTTAGCCTCCATTCAGATGAATTTCTGTCTGTTGTGTTTGGGTGGAGCAGGGCATCTCCGAAGTTGGCGACAGACTGGCAATGAAAGGAATACTCTGCGGGAGCATAGATGTCACGGCTCGCGATGTAAGATGCACTGAGGTTAGCGAACTGCAGCTCAACTGCATCCAGGGAGAACCATTCTCGTGCAGAGACAGGATAGAAACGCTTGCTCATTGAAAAACTGGAGATCAGCAAGAGAAGGATGGTTAGAAAGCGCATCAGTGTAAAAAGCACAATCACTGTTTAACTATTCTTTCCAAACTAGTTGTTCTAAACTCTTACATAAACTGATGCTAGCAGTGATATTAAAAATATAGTATATTTTTTAAAAGTCTGAAACATTAAACATTTACATGGAAATAATATCTCTACTGCAGAGATAGAGAAAGTTATTTTTGGCTTTTTAGAAAACAAGAAAATTGGTTTTTGAAAAAGAGAACTGTCTTCAAATGGAAGCCGTGATTTCAGGAATTTCAACAAAATACTTCATTTTTTGAAATGCGTTCTTACTAAAAATTTAACAGGAAGATCCCATTTATCACTTAAACATAAACCCACATTAATTTAGCAACCCTATTTATAAAAATGCCTCAAGATGATCATTTTATGAACTCTGTTGTGTGATACGAAAGCTGTAAAAACATCAAATTGCTTAATACTTGCACAAAGGCTTGGCCTCCTAGTTGTGTAAGTTTCTATGTTGAAACTAGACAGAAAATAGTCCTCGAGCTAAAATGTCCATAGTGACAAACCCCCACTGCTCACTGCTTCCAAGATGTGTGCAAAATAAAAATAACTAAAATGCATCAGCTACAAACAAAGTGAACCAAATGACCAGCTGTTGACTCCAAGATTTTAAATGTCAGGTAAATGTCATTTTGTGTTTCAACTGTAGAACAAAGTGATCTCTTAGAGAAAGCAAAGCAACAGAACACCTCATTCATGCCAGCACTGTGCTGCACCCATTAGTACACACTGTCACTCACAAACTTCTTTTTAAACAGGGTGTGGGCAGAAGCAGCAGCGGCTCAGCTAGATTTAAAGCCACACACACTGAAAGAACCGGTTTGGAAAAGCAGGGTTGTAGAGCGTGATATTTAAACAGTAAATACAAATACATAGAAATACTATTGCTGTGGTACATTGAGCACAAAATTGAAAAGCACATCCTGGGGACACGTAAGAGTTATTAACTAATTGAAAAGGTACAATTTTTAATCTTTAATAAGCAACTTTTTGCCTTACCTTAATGTAAAGCCTGATTGGTAAGTAAGCACAAGCCTGAAATGAGAAAAAAATAAAACATGCAACTGATTATTTCTCTTTAAATAACAAAAAAACAAAAACAAAAAAAACGTAAACTCATCACAGGCTGGATATCGCTTTGGGAAATAATGAAAGGCCACTTTACCGCGAGGTCCTGCCATTGCACAGTGATCCAACAAAGGAAGGTTCACCCTGAGCAAGGTCGATCCATGGTGAGCTCGGACCCAGTCTGACAGTGAGATTTTGAGCCCACAGCATTATGCAGGGACCACCAGATACATTAAACATGATGGGAGGCTTAACTTGAGGTTCAACTGCTTGTAGCAAGGACCGACCCACTGACTGATCAGAAATCTGGGTTTCTGAAATCACCTGCAAAGTTATCAAAATGTTGTTCATTCTCAAAAAAATACCCAAACATTGAGAATGTGTTATAATGTGGCACGTTTTGACTAATTTTAAAAACATACTCGTGATGGCTGGAATCCCGTGTATATTGCCGTGTATGGGATGTTTTTTGCTTTCATTGAACTCAGAACTTTTCCAATAATTTCATCTGTTGACAGCAAAATGCATTCAAATTATACACAAATCAAAATATAACATATAATGCTGACTACAATTATACATGTTTGTAATTGTAAACGTCATATACAGTTATAAATGTTTTTAATCCTCAGCACTTAAAAACATACCATTCTCATGTAGGACTTCCTTGCATGACTTCTGTAAGCTACAAAACAATTTAAAAAGAATACACTTTAAGTATTAATTAAAAACAGATAACTGATTATTCAATATAACTTTGAACAAAACAAAATCTCACCTGCTACAATAAGGAAGATTGATGAGCAGGAGGTTGCTGACAGACGTTTTGATAGTCAGATGTGAGAGAGTGTCTGCATCGACGAGCACAGGCGAAACACCGAGCTTCTCCTGCAGCAGAGCTGCCATGTTAAAGGAACCAGACCACTCCAAGGCAGGCAGTGTCACTTTTGAGGCAGAAGACTGCATTGCATCCTGAAAAGGATCAAGTGGGCACAATTATCAGTCTCTGTTTGTCTAGGAAAAGACTATATTAATTTTGGACTAACATATAGGTTATAAAAACATACCTCAATGTTTTTAAAGGCACTATCCTCCTTATTCCCAAATACGCCACCAAAGACTGTGAAGTCATCTTTGCTTAACTAAATACAAAAAAGGAAATGTTTCTTGAATTCAGGAAGACTTTAATAACTAAAACATTTACCAGTCCCATTAACCCACGAGCAATTATTTTAGGAGCTAAATTGACTGAATGCCATTCATAATCAGACATTATTTTAACGGAATTCTTTTTTAATGGCTCAGTTTGTATTTATCATTCTTAAAAAAAAATACAGCCTGTACAAATTACATTAATTTAGACAATTATTATCTGCTACTTCTTCCATTTTCTTTGTTTCAGTAATACTAGGAAAAACTAAATTTCAAATCTTAATGTCTGTTTGAGTGACTTGTTGTGTGTATGCATGACAGTATGCTAACGTGCCAAAATATGAGTGAACTGGCGGCTCCACGATACCTCAATTGACAACAAACTGGAATAAAATCAATGTCACGTTCACGCTTTTCACGCAAGCTACATCTAAAGGAATATCTTGTTTGTGCTTGTGTAGTTGATTAAAGGTTATAGAGGATTTACAATGACAATTTCATGACGATTACAATCACGATTAAAAATATCACATGGGAAAATATAAATATATGGCTCAGTCACAACACTGAGTGTTCACCACCACCACAAAAAAAAAGACCCAATGTATCACAGAGGAACAGAGAAATGGGAAGTGATGCCAAAACTCACTGTCACACCACACTGTTGCAGTGTCACATGGGAATGCAGTACAACTACCCCATTTTGCACAACTTGCATATAAAATGACTAGCTTTCAAATCAACAAATGGTGAACAAATTAGTGACATAAACATATCCATTACAGAGCCAGAATCTAGTTTATGTGCCAGGTACTGACCTTGTCCTGCAAGAACAGCAGCACAGTGTGGGAGCCAGAGCTGAAGGCAGAGGTGAGGTAGGCACTCAGCTGCTCATAAGATGCTATATGACCAGCTGTAGGTGAGGCCAGTGGTGGCAAGCTAAACACAGAAAAAAAAATAAAGATGAATTGTGATATTAAGTGGTTCAGTTGCATTGACACATTTTTTGAAAATGCTGAAAATCCCAGTGGCTTTTATTATGAAGCACAGTACTTCATTTTTAAAAGAGACCCATTAGTCAATCAAATGAATCTTCTGAATAGGCCCCAACAA